GTAGTAGTAGTAGTAGTAGTAGTAGTAGTAGTAGTAGTAGTAGTAGTAGTAGTAGTAGTAGTAGTAGTGACTTTGGCTGCTTTAATTTGTTTTCTGAACCAGTTCATGACAACATGTTGCATTATGCAGCTTATACATTGAGAAATGTGGAAAAGAGCAAAACAACAAGCTTCAGGCCAGAAAAATTTACAGCAAATGTTATGGGGGAAAAATTGAAAATGTCAGTAAAGACACGCATCTTTGTTCAGTTGATCCTAATGTGTGTCAAGTTTTCAGCTCTTTGACAAATAAAAACAAGATTTTAGCAATAAATTGATTTGTGGACTGTGATTGGGTAATTTTCCACAACTTCATGAAAATGAATTGGCTTATTTCTTCATGTCGAACTGCTGGTAGCAAAAATATGTAGAAATGCAATTTTTTTCTTGTTTTTTTTTTTTCTAAAATGTCACAGTATCTGTTGACCCAGAACCAGCTCATCCCTTGAGTTTAGGAACGTTTTGAATGCTTCATCAGTTAGAGTGAGCCGAAGCTGAATCAGGGCACTGGACTGAAAGTATGTGGAATAAATAGCCAAGGTTCAAAAATAAAAGTTTGTTCCTCAGAACGCCTGAAAAACTATTGATTAATATCATTTTAAACAATTAGAATAAAGTCTGTCCTCCTGGAAACAAAGTACAGAGATGGGGAACGTCCCTTTCAATAAACACACACAAAAAAAGCAGTTCTAAATAATGATATTTCAGAACCACTCTGGTTTTTTAAGAAGTTACACAAACTTTTTGGAATTAGCTGTGAAGCTTCTGTGTTTGAGCTCATGAGATCTTTTCTTTATTCAGCTGGCAGCCCCTCCTGAAGAGTGAGCCTTACTTCCTTAGAAGGGTTTTTCTTTCATCCACCTCTGAAGTTTTCTGTGAATATCCAGGCATTTGTTTCATTTTTGAACTTACAAGTGTGGCCTGCTTCTCTTTGCCTGCAGTGTTGCTCCTGTATTTTTTATTTTTATTTTATTTTTTTTGCGGACCTAAAGTGGTTCACTTGTACACTTTTTACAAAGCTTCTTGTCTTCGGAGAAGCTTTTCGTACAATACAAGTTTCTAGGAACAGAATGTTGGCAGATCAGACCAACAACTTTTACAGTCATGTGAACTCGCAGCGTTTCACTTGTTACCCTGATTCAACAAACACTGGGTAAACTATCAGATATGAACTCTACATTTCAGGCTATTTTTTTCCCTTTTGGATGGGAATACTCACACAGATCAATAACAATCTGCACATGATGAGCACAAACATGTTCAAAATGACCTAATCATTTTAATTTTCCAGATTCACAACTTGCTCTACTCGCGATTTATTTATTTATTTATTTATTTATTTATTTATTTATTTATTTATTTATTTATATCTGTTTGTTTTTTAGGATCTCAGCAGCAGCTATTATGGAGATTACGTAAAAAAGATGCTTAGAGAAAAGAAACCCAGCAAAATCAGGTAAATAATAACATTTTTAGCAGCAGACTACTTCTGTTTGATCCCCCTCTCATGCTGTTTGTCGTTATCCAAAGATGTGCCGTAAACCTTTTTAAAACCAGCATTTATTTTATTCAAACTGACTGCAGCAGCTTAGTGGTGAATTCTGCAGTTCCTGCTGCGAAAACAGGAAGCATCTGAAATAACATAACTGGGTGCAGAGATGGGAACATTCTGAGTCCCTCTCAGGACTAACGTTGTTTAAAATATACATTTCTTTCATATATCAAAGCTGAAAAATGAAAGTTAACAGTTTAAATGAGAAACTAAACAGTACAAATGAACTTGGAAAATATATGCTTAAGTTAAAAGTTATTGCCAGMAGCATTATTTTTTTAGTTCTTCTACTTTAATACGCCCAGGACACAATTTGACAGTCTTGGTGATAAAACCTCATTTATTTGCATTTACTGTACATATTTTAGTGAACACAATTTGTGATTCTTAAAGGTGTTGAATTATAACAAAAATTGAGTAAATAAATCAGTGTTTTTATTTAACTTATCTTCAAATGTTTGATTGTACTTGAGTTGATATATTAATTATGTTTGTTTCAAAAATGACACTAATTTTAAGATATTTCATCTTTTTACTTCATCCAACCAATGTGTTTAATGCAGTTAAAGTGTGTAAACCTGTTTATTGTTTATCTTCAGCTCATTGAGAGCAGACAAACCTAAACTCCCTCAGAGGATAAGTGATGCTGTGAAGTCTTATATTTACACACCTGAGGATGGTAAATGTTTTTTGTCTTTTGCCTTGTACCGTGTAATTGTAAAGGTTTGGATGCTAAATGTGTGTAAATCTTGGAAAGAAAAAATCTAAAACAAATATGATAGCATGATTATAAACATATAAATGTTTTATTTTTAACAGCATTTCGTTTCCCTCTGAAGTTGGCAATATCATGTGTAGTATCTTTCATAACCCTCTATCAGGTAACATTCCTARTTTTATCTTAATGAATAATTCTGATTTATTTTATCACAGAGGAAATTCTGCAGTTCAATTAATATGTTAAATCAGTTAAAAAGAAACAGGTGTATTCAGTGTTTAAAGCTTTGTGTCCCTACTTCCTGTTACAAATCGAACTCTTTTTATTTATTTTTTCAGATGGGTCTAGTTTTGATCTCAGCGGTAGTGCCAACTCTCCAGACCGCCCGGTACGGAGTCGACGAAAACATTGCGAATGTTTTAGCTGGTTTCCAGATCATCCTGTCTCCAGACAAACATGAGGTTGCGAGGATTGTGGTTCATTATTTGTGGTGTGTGGAAGGTGAGGGAACCCACAGGCAGCAGCTCACATTAACACAGATCTCACCCTTACTGACTCTGATATTCCTGCAGTGTGCTACATCTCAGCAATGACTCTGTCTGCTTTGGTCAACGTGGTTCTGCTCATGCGCTCCATGGTTCTTCATCGGTGAGTTTGAGAACACGCCAGTTCAGGCCTGCATCTGGCGTCAGGTGTCTGTTAGCAAAATATCTCACGAAMCAAACAACGGATTTTAGTGAAACTCCCACAAAGTGATCATGGGTATAGATCTACAACTGGTTAACCTTTGAAACCAACCCAACTTAAGATGACTGCCACAGCTAGTTGGTCACGGCAAACCCAATAATGGCTGCAACTCAGTCAAGGTGACAGAAGTTGAGCTAAAAATTTATGTGGTAGTCGCTGAGAGTCATTCGCTGCACGCAATCTGAGCACAATGTTGTGTGAAATGAGCATATGTTGATCTGAGCTCCTCAAAGAAAGGTTTTCCATTCAACGACTTTTATAAATTTCTTCAAAAACCAAAAAAATTATGTACAATAAAAGAAAAAATGCACAAATAAAATGATGTAAAAGGCAGCAGAGTGAAGAATGTCTGCCATTTTTTCCCAAGAATAAATTCAAACAATAAACTACACAAAACAAAACAAAAACATCAAATACTTAGTTAGGCCCTTTTTCTGTTTTCTTGATTTGTTGTGGGTTTTTTCAAGGTTTTCTTGCCACTGTGTCCAATAATTGTATTTGTGCTTTGCCTTCTGGCTCATCTATGATAATTTCAGGCTTAAAGCACATTAAAGTTCTATCACACATCCACCCTGTATTAAACACTGAATCAATTAGAAACAGCTGATAAGATAAGCGATGCAATTTGTAATTACCATCAGAACATTATATTGTTAGACCGTTCAGTTGTTTTTCTGTCACGTTCTCCCCTAAATGATTTCAGTTTATGAGGTGAGTCCTGTTTTTAGCAAGTTTAACGTCAGCATAATGCTGCATCTTCTGGTTTTGTTGGKTTTTTTTTAGGTTAAATCTGAAGGGGCTTTACAGAGGAGATGTTTATAATGTCTACAACTGTCAGCGAAGCATCAGGGCGTCCAGGCCGGCGCTGGTCTGCTGGATGGGGTTCACCAGCTTCACCGCAGCTCACATCTGCATCGGTACAAAAGTAGCAGTGAATGTGACACTTAACAAAAACAGCTTGTTTGCATCCTGAATTGTTATAAATGGAATTAAAGCTCCTATGTCTTCTCCTGCAGGAATGATCATCCAGACGTTAGTGTTCTTCCTCTGTCTTCTGATCGCCGTCTTCCTCATAATCATACCCATCCTGCAAAGACAGAATCTGATTCTCTTTCAGCTCCTCTGGAGCATGTGGTGAGCATCTTCTACTACGGTACAGTTTTCCCTCAGGCATCATTCTGTATCTTGACACTTCTGTCATGTAAAACCCCCCAGTTTAGGTTTAATTTGAACTTGTGAGTGTGAAAAAATCTGATCCAAGCTGAAAATGAAACAACTGCTGTGTTATTTATTTGCCTTATTTGAACCTTAGTAGCTTTAAGTCAACAGGTTTTATATCCAATGTACAGAAACCAATTGGATTCACACCATTTCCTGTCAGCTACAAATTGATTTTTGTCTCACTTGGCTCACAACAGGAAAAGCTTGATTATTATTATTTTTTTGTCCTGTTAAGGCCGTTCTGGCTGATGATTCTTCTGGCTGTGTTAATTCAACACATCACTGCCAGGTTTTGCTTCATCAAGAAGACAGCGGGCACACAAGACTTAAACAACAGGTGCTTCACTTCCTGTATACATTTTACTTACATCTACCGGTGACTTTCTGCAGGTTTTAACAGCCTAACTCATCCTGCAGGGGTAATCTCTTCCTCTTGACATACCTGCTGTTCACTGTCAATGTTCTGATCGGGGTTCTTCTGGCTCTGTGGCGCCTGATCATCACAGCTCTGTTCAACATCGTCCACATGGGGCGTATGGATATTAGTCTTCTTAACCGCAATGTGGAGGCGTTTGACCCAGGTGAGCCACTGGTAGAGTTATATTCAAGACCACCTAACCTGAGACCAAATCAAGACCAAGACTGATGGAGTGTGAGGCAGAGTCAAGACCAATACCAAAAATAAATAAATAAATAAATAAAAAAGAAATCTAGTGCCCTAAAACATATAGGGGTTCTTAACCTTTTGGACTTCGGTGCACAATTTGTTCAAGATAAAGTGACACGAGGCCCAGTCACACATTACCATATGGATCTGTCAGGTTCAGAACATTTTAAATCACAAGAGAAACTGAGGAGACTCAAACAAAACGACACTAGAGTTAAGTTTTACTTGCTGCAAGGGGAGACAGCTTCCTTCCAAAGAGATAACATCTCCTTGCAACTTTCATTAACATCACTCAAAGTAGGCAGTCACAAGTTTTCAACCAATCATATTTTACCTAAAACACAGCAACTTTATCTTCCATCCAACAGACATTTCAACTTAATAAAAAGCATGGCCGTCATCTCAAATGTTCAGCTTTCTTAAGACAGCCTGGCTCCGACCACTCTGTTACAGCAAGATAAGACAACTTAGAAACTTTTAACACACAATATTATCAGGCCTTGAACTCTGATCTGAAACGTAAATAGAAAGTAATGTTATTAAAACAGAAAACATCAACTTAAAAGAAATAGATAATAACTTATTTACATTTTTTTCCATCAGGATCAAAATGATAATTATTCTAAATCTCAGTTTAAAAATATAATTATTCTAAGTCTTAGTTAGGCCCTGTGATGGACTTGCGACCTGTCCAGGGTGTACCCCGCCCCTTGCACCATGACTGCTGGATATGGGCACCAGTGACCCACGCGACCCTGAAAAGGAAGAAGTGTGGACAGAAAATGGATGAATGGATGGATGGATAAGTCTTAGTTTAATTTGTATTGTGTTTGCATCATTACTAAATAAAATACACTTACAGTTTAAAAGTAAAACTCCTGTCAAATAATCACAACACATGATCATGACAAACATTTTTTTAATATTGTAACCTGCCCATAACTCTGCTCAAACATCAAACTGAAAGTATAAATTGGGTTGTGTGGTTGTCTCTGCAACAAACACATGTTCTGACTATGTAATAGCAAAGAAGAAGAAAAAAAGCAATACAAAGCTTTATATATATTTTTTTCCTTGTTTCCCTTTGTATAGGATTTACCTTTCAATGGGCACTAGCAGCAAGCCTTTATGTTGATTAAATGCAATGCATTTTTTTCATGTAGATTTCAGCAGACCCTTGCATTTTTACATACAAAAGTCATTTTTAAACCCACTTAGAAGGTAAAAATTTGCATTCTATCCACTCTGCTGTTCCAGCAGCTATGATATCTGTATGCTGTGCAGTGCAGGGACGGTAATTGGCCGATTTCTGAAATAGGTGCAGATTTAAAACAGGAAGAGCAGGTGGTTTGGAGGGAAAAATGTGTGATTGCACAGCCATTATGTGCGATTGCCTCAAAGACAACATGGGGTGCAGTGCTACACATTTTATTGCTTTTGCCCTGTCAGAGTGATCCCCCCCACCCCCACTCCCTCCTTGTGTCTGCCTGCAGCCTACCGCTGCTACGCTCATTATCTGAAGATTGAGGTGAGCCAGTCTCATCCAGTGATGAAAGCCTTCTGCGGGATGCTGCTACAGTCTGCRGGCCAGGAGAGCAAAGCTGCACAGAGGACACGGGACGCTGAAGAGGGTCTGTACATCTCAGTCCACATCAAAACTTAACTCAGAGGGGCTTGGGTTTTTTATTGTTATTTAAACACCTTTTTTGAGCTTGGAGAGGAGGTTGTCCAAGCAGGAACGTGTAGGCTGAAGCCACAACAGCTGTCAAAACAAGACATTTTTTCTTTTGATTCAAATTTTCTGTATATGCTTTTCATTAATAATTTTAAAAAACCAAAGATCTGCCACATAATTTGTAATAAATGAGCAAAATCAGCAGAGTCAAGTTTTGTTTCCAACAGTAATGAGTTGGGAACAAAGGAGTAGAATATTTGCTGTTTACTAACGTTGTAGAAAGGAGCAGTAGGACTGAGTCAAGCTCGTGTAAAAGGGGCCATTATTGCACATTGTGGAGCCAGTTGGGGAGTTAGAAAAACCCTGTCTCTCTGTGTTGTGAGCTGGATAACTTGAAAGATAAGTGAGGTACTGAGTTCCACTTTTGTGTGAGCTGCATATAGGTGTAAGAATTGAAAAAAATTGTGATTTATTTTGCTTAAAAACTGTTTCATTAAATGATTGGGGTGGCTGATGCGGTGTCCAAAGATTAATAGCCAAGGCCACCTTTGGCCACCCATTGGGTCACCTCTATCCTTACCCAGTGTAACTCATACCCACTTGAATATTATACTAAAAACATTAAGGTTTACTTGCATTCACTGTTCATATCCATTCCAGAAAAACACTCATCTCAAATATTCAAAACGCTTGACAAAGAGTGACATCAGCTGTTTGTTGTCTTGGCAGCTTATGCATTGATTGTTGCTCCAGTCAGTCATGGACTTTATAAAACAAAAGAGGAAATAAAAGAAATGCAACTAATGCTTAAATACAAACAACAGCTTAATATTACATTAAAGTCAAGGTGCAACTTTTATTATGATTTAATATGAGGTCACCACATAATCAGATGATCAAACTGTCCTGCATGTTCCAACAGAACTGGAGCTTCACAGCTCTAATTTAATATGGCCAGAACAAATTAAGTTTCACTGTGGAATAATTTACAGTCCTGCTGCTGGTCTCAATCAAATCTGCCATGAATAAATCAGCTGCCATTATTACTCTGCTCGCTCAGCTTCCGTTTCTGAAAGACAGCATAACCAATGCTAAGCGTGTTATTTTGCTCATTCAGACGAGACCAAAGTATCTGTTTTATCGTGTTAAATTACTCAAACTATAAAAATCGTGACACAAACGGGAGGTGAGCGATGGTCGCCCACGCACACGGTGACAAGAGGTCACATTAGAGTGAGAAATTAGCAGGAAAAACACCATCAGTTGCTGAGGAATGTAGGTGCAGCTGAGTCCAATTACAGGTGTGCCGTGGACATGGTGTTTGTTTGCATGTGGAGAACAATGCATCATCAGGATTTATCTTTTGTTTCGCAGAGATTATTTCTTCAGCTGCTGATTACACAGATGAGCTACACTAATTGCTTGTTACATATTCATGTTGCCCAGGGGGGGTTAGGCTTTCAGAGTGTTAATCGTGAGCCGATATTCTCACACCATAAAATATGATTGCTTTCTATTATTACTCTTTCTGTAGTATCTAGCTGCTCCCGGGTGGCCTAAAAAGGAGTCTCAATTYGTCTCTGAATCGAGAAGGTTGTTTTGTACGTGACCATCGTTGTGTCTGACTGTCCTCAGGGATTCAGCTGGTTCAGCAGGAGAAGAAAAAGAACAAGCTGTCGAGTGCCAAGCGTGCCCGCAGGCGCTGGTGGCTCCTGTACACCCTGGTCAACAACCCCTCCCTGGTGGGAACCAGGAAGCACTTCCAGCGGCAGACTGCRGACAGCTTCCTGAATGGGAGCTTCAAGCGCAGGGCCATGGAGGGAGGCAAAAAGGAGGCGACGACCAAGGAGGCTGAGGCCGCCGCAGACAACTGAGCAAGATGGATGGATGGAATATCAATGGGTCTGGGTCAAATACTGTTGTCTTGCAATTATTTTTTCTCAAACAGGTCTGTATTTGGCAACAAAGTGCATTAAAGCTCAGTGCCACATGTGAATATAAGTCTTTACTATTTATTTAGGGGTGGTGGGGCCTCTCTTTCATATGAGGGTCACATTCTGAAATATTCAAATGAAACACTCAAATGGCTGTTTTCTTTTCTAAAACCTTAAAAAAAATTGGTTTGTATTATTTGTGCTTATTTTGGGACACATCTGAAGGTAGCTTCTCACTGACGACTAAAATTGTGAGAAAATGTGCCTTATTGTGTAGTTGTTGATGTGTTCACAATGCATTCTGACTGTTTATAACCAGTTGAACCTTGAGACTAGTTTTTGAAAATTGCAGCTTATTTTGATTATTTTGTTGCCTACATCATGCCAGCTTCAGCTTTGATCCTATCTTAGCAGTTGACCACATCTGCTGAGTTCACTGTTGAAATGAAAAAGATTTTGGCTTTCCAATAACTATCATCAGTAAAGCTTTTAGACGTGATGTTTTCTGTCAGAGGAGAGCTCTTGTGTCGGTGTCTAAATGCAGCTTTGCACCCTTGATCAGTTTGATTCACCTGCAGTAACGCAGTTAATTACAATTAATATTGTTTGTTGTAGATAGCTCTTGAACATTTTCACAGTGTTTCATTCTGACAAGACTGAAAATCTTGATGTCTAAACAAACAGGAACAAGACCAAGTGGTTTTATAGAACTCAGTTTTTTTTTTTTTTTTAATCATGCTCTTTTAATGCAAACAAAATTTATAGACCTTTGCTCCGCTGGTAATTTTGTAGAACATAGTTATAGTGCAAATTATGAATAGTATGGTATTTCTAGCAAAAGTTCTCCAGGCTGAACTAAAGGGGCTACAGCTAGCTGCTGCTACTATATACACTTGCATCCCATCAAATTAAATAACTGTGTTATATGCAGAACTGATGACAATGTAAAATGTAGTGTTCACAGGCTGGAGTTGTTTTAAGATAACTTCGTCACTTTTGTCTGCATAATTCAGACTAACCATTAACTCATCAGTTTGATCAGAATTGAACTCATTTTCTCCAAACTGAGTTTGTTCAAAGAGCTATCTGCAACAGGTAAGATATTATTTGTTCATTACCTATCTACAAAGGCCCCATTTAAATAAGAAATCTCCAACCAGATTTCAACCTCAAGGTTAATCATATTTTCATTTATAGACTATAGAAAAAAATAGTTTTAGCTGCTAAAACTAAACAGATGGACAGAGCATCATGTATTTATGCACAGAGAAAATAATAATGAGAACTATTTATGAATATACAAACTGAAATGTTTAGATTGTTTTGTTTTGTTGGTTGGTTTAGTAAATACTCTCACACATAAATCAAACGAACCTGTGAAATAGGAGCTGCAATAGAAAAAGAAATATATCTTGTTTCGTTTAATCTGAAACTATTTTTGCTGCTACGCATTCCAGACTTTATTTCTGTTGTCAAAAATGTTTTCTGGTTTTCTCTTGTTTCAGCCGAATCTCATTGTTTTTCTCTGCATTACTGTCGTAAAAATAACATAAAATGATCCAGTTTCTTCCATCTGATTTACTGTGAAAATAAACTGATACTAAAGATGTATTGTGATGAACTAAACTGTGTGACATTTATTTCATTTATTGGTTTATATCAGATAATACAAAATTAATTTCAGAATATGGAAAAAAAATAAATGCAGTTGTAAATGTTTTATCTATAAATTTTAAATAACGACAGATCAAAACAGGGTTCAAGTTAATATGTTTTATTAATTCCACGTACATAAATTTATATTAAAAAAATCTCAAAAGGTCACGTTTTTTTTCTCATTTTACAACATGTTTTCCACAAAAAAAACTCACTCTATATGTAACAAATTTCACGGAGCCGCAGACGCGCTTCGCGCTGCGTCTTTTTGCCTCCGTGTTCAAACTCACCGTCAGGAAAAAAAAGAATAAAAATAAGGAATGTAATCGGTTGAGATTTCACACCACAGACAGACAGTCACATCTAAAAGCTCTACATGTAGCTACACTAATAGAAAAATAAAAAATAAAGCACACAAGAGAACACGTGCGACATGCCATGGACACGTTTTTGCGCGTTGATTCGTCGTTTTCTTTTTAAAGCCTTGAACACTTTTCTTCCGTCGAGCACGAGTCGGCCGAGAGCGCACATATCTCCCGACTATCTGCAGCCTTTTATCGCACCATCAAACATTTTGTTCCACTGAATCGGACTTGTGTTTTTTGCGTGACACCTGAGAAGATGTTACCTGGCCCTCCTGCAGCCACGCGTGGCTTAGAAAGAGTCCCTGATGTCAGTTTGATGGAGAAAAGGCTGTAAAAATATGATTATTGGCACTTGTTTGGTTATTTTTTGTGCTCCCTTTTATTTCACCTTCAATTAGCTGTGTTTGCGCTGCGCTGCTCACCTGTGAGGGCTGATAAACTGTTTTAATCTGTGCTTCTTTTTTTTAAATCCCACACCAGATCTATACAAACGCAACATGACATATTTTTCACAATCTCAGTGATTTTTGAGGTATAAAACAAATATTTGTAATGGTCCACCCCTCCCTAAACTTCTCGTATGGCCATGATGTGTGGGGTTACCTGAAGGACAAAGGAAAGTATGTTACAGTAAAAAGCCCTCGCGGGATATCCGTAGCGCTCGCGCGCCTCAGCGGCTCGGCTGCTTGTAGTTGCCGTTGATTTCCTCCGAGATGTTGACGGCCTCCGCGCCCAGCGGCAGCCTGTCGCTGTACTCGGATCCCATCTCGAACTCCTCCTGGTTGGTTTTGGAGGAGGACCCCGGGATGGACTCTGTCACCAAGCTCCCCTCGGCCTCCCCTCCCTCTCCCCCCTCCTCCTCCTCCTCCTCCTCGCCCAGCTCGCTGGGGTTAAAGGTTTTTTCGGACTCCACGAATGACGCCCTGGGATCGAAGTCCCCCGAGGCTTGCTGCTTCTCCACCTGATCCGGATTCTGAGCCTTCATGATCAGCTTGTAGGTCTTCCCTTGGTACTTGTACAGTAAGTGGCAGCAGGTGGCCCCCAGCAGGGGGACGGTGGCCAAACCCAGGAGGAAAATGCTGACAATCACAATAATGAGCAGGGAGGGGATCTTCTTCCTGGTTGTGAAGACCACTTGGACCTGGCAGTCCTTCCCTCCAGAAGTGAGACAAAGGGTGTAATTGGTGCCAGGCTGTAAGTCACGGAAGCGGTAGGAATTGACCCCCTCCTCTATATTGGACCACTGAACCAGGGAGTGTCCATTCCCTGTATTTACACAGAGGTAGAGCATGTCCAGGGTGTCCTCGCTGGAGGACTGCAGCAGACCCACAGGCTCTTTGTTCACGGTTTCCTGGTTTTTGCTTTGACTCAGGTGGAGGTTTGATTTGGTGCTGGGGAGCTGCAACGGGTTCAGCTGCACTTTAGCTTCTGTTTCTGACACTTCTAATGCGATGACGCCAAAATCGAAGGTGTACTGCTTCAGGTCGTCCAAACTCATGTTGAAGGCGTGGTTGGAGATGTATTCGCTGCCGTCCCTCACGCCGCACTTGCTCGCAAAGCTGGGGTTCTTCACAGCATCCCCAGCCCCCTCGCTTTTGTGCTTGGACCCATCAGGACTCCCCTTTGTCTTCTCCTCATGCTTAGCCCAGTTGATCACGTTGTTTTTGGAAATCTTCGGGTCTTCGGTCTTTTTAACGGACGGACGGATCTTGTCCAGGGTTGAATTGGGTGCTGAGCCGCTGCCTTGCTTTGGGGTGTAGGTCAGAGCGAGCTTGACGCTGCTCGCCGCTCTGCCTAACTCGTTCTCTGCAGAGCAGCTGTAGTTTCCATCCTCCTTTTTACTCATACGGGGGACAATGAGGGAGCCATTCCTAAAGACGAGGAATCTGTTGTTAGTTATTTTATTGTTTACCGGCCCATCATTGTCTGCCTCTGTGAGTGGCAGGGGAAACAGGTAGTTCTGGTTTCCTGCAGTTACCTCCCAGCTGACCTGTGGTTTGGGGCTTCCCTTTGCCTCACAGTTCAGGATCACCAAGACCCCTTCATAGAGGACTGCGTTCTCTATGTTTGGCTGGTACGTTATGGTGACAACAGGGGCTTCGCACTGCAGTTTTGGAGTGTTTGCCACCATGACTCCTTTCAGGTGTTCAGGGGCCTCACACTGGATTGATTTAGGCTCAGGCACAGCAATTTTGGTCGTGGCAATCCAATCCCTGAGCCAATCTAGGCTGCAGGAGCACGTGAACGGGTTGTTAAAGATCTGCAGGTGGGACAGGGTGGAAAGGGCGCTGAAGGTGCCCTCCACGATGGTGGTGAACTTGTTGTGGTTGATGCGGAGCGACCGCAGGTCTTTCAGTGTGGAGAAGGCATCCCTCGGGAGGTTCACCATCTCGTTATTGTTCATTTTCAGCAGCTGCAGGGCTGTGAGGGTCTGCAAGTCCTCCCATGGGAAGTGAACGATCTTGTTGTGGCTGATGTCCAGGTTGCGGAGCTGAACGAGGGGTGCCAAGGTGCCCGCCTCGACGGTGACGATCTCGTTGTGGGCCAGCCAGAGAGAGGTGACCTCTGTGATGCCGACGAAGCTTTTGCTCTTCAGCAGCTTGATCTTGTTGGCCGAAAGGCTCATGGTGGTCACGTTGGCGGGGAGACCGTCGGGCACCTCCAGCAGGTCTTTGTAAGCGCAGTCGGCGAACTTCTGGGAATATTTATCCTGGCAGCTGCAGACCTCGGGGCAGCACTGAGTGCCACCGATCACCACAATCCACAAAGCAAGGAGCTGCAGGAGTCTTCTCGCCATTTTCCCTAAAAGCATCAGTGATCAGACTTTAGAATTATTTTGTTACAAACTCAACACAGATTAGCTTTAAAACATGTTAAAATAAATGTTTTATAAACTCATAAAGCAAAGATTTCCCCTTAAATCCTCAGTTTATTATTTTCACCTTGCATGACATAAAAGTGAGTTTTTACAGATCAAGACACAAAACACGTTGCTCTGTTTGACTTGTGTTCACATTAAATGGTCTCTCCTTTGTGCGCGTCTGCTTTAATGTCCGAGCGAACAGGCGCTTTCCATGGTGTTGAAGCGACCAACCCCTCAAATCTAACTCCAAACATTTTTTATTGCAGTAAAAGTTGCACTCTGGTGTTTTAATTCAGCCTGGGAAGCATTTTGAACTTCATTCCTTGTGATTTCTAAAAACTAAATCTGACCTTTAACGCATATATCTTAGGACTCAGAATTGGAACATCTTACCTGTTAAGTGTTCACTTCGTTCTTCTTTTTTTAAAACTCCCAGTTTTCAGTCTTCTCTGGTTCCTACAAGTTTAATGGTTGAAGGAGGTTTCTGCAGGACTGGACAGCGCTGCTGAAGGACGGCGGCAGGAACATTTTCCCCCGGTGAGATGTTGATGTTGCGCTCAGTTCGTCCGTCCGCTTTTTTTTTTTTTTTTTTTTTTTTTTTCCTGGATTACCTCTCTCTCTCTCTCTCTCTCTCGCTCAGGCTCTTCTGCGCGCTCTCGCCGCTGCGGAGCCAGAAGAGGATGCGTGAACGCGCAGCCTCTCCCATCTTTCACTTCTCCATTAAAGATACAGAAGCTCCGGCTCCTTCTCCTCCCCCCTCCTCCTGCACCCCCTTCCGAGAAAAAAAATTCATAATTTAATATCTGATGTTTAATTTATCACTGAGACCCAAAACTAATCTTTGACCTCGTTTGGTTTTGACTGCAGCTCTTTGTCTTCAGCAAAAGAGTTTGGGCACCCAAAACACGCAACTGATGCTTTAGATAATAATTTAAAACGTCAATATTCTTTTTGCTTGCCGGGGCCTTAATTAGCTTTCAGATTTTTAAGGTAATCTGGATGAAATTATTATATGACAAAAATTGTTTTCTGTGCAGAAGTCACTTTTATATCAACCTTATGTTTGGGTTTGTTTAAAAAAACGTTTCAGTTTTTCAGTCAAATAAACCGATTTGTGCTGAAATGCTGCCACCTTCAGGTAAACTGTGTGAACTTTTTCTGTCAACCCAAACAATCAAAGAGATGAGTCATGTTAAACAAAATAAAGGTGAAAATACTGAGATTAAGACTTTGGTTAAATTAAAAGATGACTTGATCTAAAATTTAATTGATTTTTTTAATTATGTTTTTTCTCACAGAGTCAGTTTTGGTAAAACATTTGTTAAATAGCTTGTGTACTTTGAATTTCAACATCGGTTAGTCAGACACTCACCCAAAGGTTAATATGCGGCCACCACCATGTTTCACTGTAGGAGTCCTGTTCTCAGTATGATGAATGGTGATAAGTTTGAGCCTAACATAATCATTTTAAGTCCCTTTTGACCACAATGTATTCTTTTAGAAGGTGGGTATAATGTTTCCAGTTCAAACAATGTTTTTTTTTTTCAGGCTCCTCTTCATGAGCTCAGCTCATACAGCTTTTGATGGCCTGATACACCCTCTGATTAATCCCTTTAGTGTTTGGCTCATCACTTTTGATGGATGACCTTTTTTGGCAGGGTTACTAGTTGCATCCCAATAACAGTCTTAATAGGGTTGATGTGTTCGTGGTTTAGGGCATTTTTTATACAACCAACCCTGATTTGTTTTCTGCACACCTTTGACTCTGACCTGTGTGATGATCTTCAAGCTATCTCTTGCCTGGTTTTAAAAATTATATAAAGCAAGTATTTTTCTCCCCGTTTGATTTGATTGATTTTGAATATGGTCAGTGTTTATGTAAATTTAAAATCAAAATGAAAATCTATGAAAATTTCAGGTTGTGAGGCAACAAAAAGAATAATACCGCAATTAGAAAAAAGCAGGAAATATCTTGTTTCACCCTGTTTCCAACCAAAACTCCTATTTTAATTTAATATTGTCCACAGTTCAAATTACTTTAAACTAAACCTTTGATGGTTCAACTTTTTTTAGTAGGACAAACGCAATTTCTTGATCCAACTATATCTCTTCTGGTCATCAACAAAAGTTTTGAGGATTTGCCAGTTTTGAGGTCTGAAATTTATAGTTATTATAGATTAGTACTGATGTTAGAAACAACACTAGAGTATTGGGGTTTCCTTTTTATAATACTTTTATAATGTTTGATCTATTGTGTGTTAATTGAAATAGAGTAGCTACATGCCCGAATCATAAACAACACATAAGTGAACCGTTTTTATAACATTAGGTTGAGGTTTTTGTATGAATGCCTGTGATTCAGCCGTAGGTCAGTAGAGGGTGAACTCAGGCATTGAAGAATCGTGTATAAAAACATGTACTTCCTGGTTGTGAGTCAGTGTGTGGTTTCCTGTCAGATCCGAATGGCATTAAATACTCACTCCCATAATGCTGGTTTTGTATGGTTTTATCTCGTCTAACAATCATCTTATTTAACATTGGTGGTTTTCTACTGACTTCAGTCTTTGAACACGAATATTCTTACACTCTGATTTAGGCAGGAAGTCAGAACAAGGTGAAATTCACAAGGGCCACAACTGTCAAAAAAATTATTTTTTTATATATTTACAAAACTTGAATACACTTCAAAAATAAAATAACGTATCATTATCATTTAAAAGCTTTATGTTTTGTCTGTTGAACCAGATGAGCAGCTATTGACATGATTTTTTTACACCAGCTGGAAAGTTGTTTTATATTCACTTCAACTCTTTACAGCTTCTGTTAAAGAAAACTGCAAAATCCACTTTTTAGGCCATTAAATGATTGTTGTTTTGTATGGAGTCTCTAAAAGTTTAATTTAGTCTCCTGGTTACAGTGGTTTGCAAAAGTATTCATATCCCTTGAACTTTTCCATATTTTGTCACATTACAACCACAAACATAAATATATTTCACTGGAATTTAATGTGAAAGACCAACCACTTTGTGTTGGTCTTTCACATTAAATTCCAGTGAAATATATTTATGTTTGTGGTTGTAATGTGACAAAATATGGAAAAGTTCAAGGGATATGAATACTTTTGCAAACCACTGTAC